CTTGATGAGATGAACAAGGTATAGACATAAGGGATATCATTGCCTTTCTCTACGTATATTTTGTGGTGTTATCTCTTTTTACTTGTCAATCTTCAACCCTATTACAAAATGTATGCTCACACTAGAGTATTCATTTCAAAAATAAATTCCCTATTTTACATGTAGACCCAGTTTCCTGTGAGATTTGTTAAAAAGGAATAAATTCCCTCGAAAGAGAGGTTGGACAAACCTATGAGAGTTGAGTTTTAGAAAGAGGCCATAGATCAGTGATCCATCAAAATACTTGTCCCGATTCAGAATACTTACTGAAGAGTGGAATATCAATACTAGGTATAAGTACTCATACAATGTGGCTAACTACCCATTTGAATGACTTGTACAGTAATTTTGAGAAAAAATCAAAATGTTTAGCGCATTTACTCAGTGTTTACACCACTATTGTTGTTTTACCATGTTTATTTTATTTGTGCTTATCAGTGCATCTTTTCGCGCTAGTTGAGTTGCGATTTCTTTGTCAGCAGTTTAGGTGTGTGATTTATTTCTCAAATTTCCTCTTCTTTTACTATAAAATTGTTGACATGATGCCTGTTAGAGGGAAACACAAAAAAAAATGTTTAGAATGTCACATTGCAGTTAAGGACCACACTTGGCGTTCTTACAGAAAAGACCAAAGGGCCGTCACCGTTCAAAGAGTACGGTACTCATCAATTTCCAAATTTTATAATATATTTTAGGGATGAAAAATCACATTGGACAATTATAACTCATTGAGGGGTATTTTTAAATTGTTGAGAGGTATTTTGAAAATTTCACAAAAGACAAGGATCTTAGTGACATGTAACATGTTCCACAAAATCTCACCATTTTACCAGAATTCGTCTCGCGTGAATTTAAAGCTATGTACAGTAATCATAAGAAAATAGATTACTCAAATGAAAGCTAAGACTAACATCCTTCTTCAAGTATCCTTAGCTGACTTTCTTTTAGCAGGAATCCAGACATAGTGTTTTTTTTTATTGACTATTAAGTTTTATCTACTGGCACATAGTTAAAATTACCCTTAAGTTGTCTCTGTTTATGGCTAAATTGAACTAACAAAACATTTGAGGTTTTTTCTGTGGAAATTTTATAAAATTAAATGGTTAATTTTATTTTTCGTTAAATTAAAAAAAACAAAAATATTAATTGTATAAATATTGCTCTGTTAATTTTCTTCAAATTTGAGATACAACTACCAGCACCAATCCTCAGTTTTTATTTGAACTCCCTTTCCAGGATATGCTTGGAGTGATGACATTTACCACTTGTGCTTTTCATCTACATGTAATTTGAACATCTTCACTTGACTTGTTTTTAAATGTCAATGTACAAACTAATAAATGAAACCCTCTTTCCACTGCACTAGGTATTCACATATTCAGGTGTGCATCAGTATCCTAAAGTCGTTGGTATTGATGATGTATTTAATGCACAGATGTACCTGACATTGCATTTTGATTCTGTAGAATAAGTAATTTTACATGCAGATCAATAAATAAATAGATTCACACTCTGTCCTAAAATTAATTGACTTTTGTTTATTTTACAGTTTGGTTATGGTGAACCAGTTAAACTAACTGGTACTGTGACTCGTGGTAGATTTGGAACAGCTGTAGCAGCAATCAAAGATATCAACCAAGATTCTTATAATGGTAAGCTTGTTTACTTTTGTTTACAGTATGAGAATAGGAGTGGTTGACATCTAGCAGCAAGTCATGACAGTCTCCTCACACCAGAGTCTGCATATTTTCAATAATGGTTGTGAAAATAGGTGAAATATTATGTTTGTACCTGCATGAGTACATTCGTTAATTGATTAAGTTAAATTGACTATTTGGAAATCTGGCTGGACTTGATTAACAGTTTGAGGTGGTTACCATCTTCACAGCTTCAAATATTCAATAAAAATAGTGTGCCGGAGACTTGCACAGTTGAACAGGAAAATGCAATCTCTATATCTCTGTATTATATGGTGTTTGGTACATTGTAAATCTATATCCTGATCTTCAATGATCCAATGATTCTGATGTAGTACCCTGGAATGGAAACTAATCTGTAAACTAAAGGTATCCCATTGCCTGTCTTTATTTTATACTTGATCTGTATCTGTGATTGGATCTTGCGCTGGCAAATGAGTAGCATTTTTTCTGACATGGTGATAGTATCAGGAAATGACATGTAGTTTTAGTTCATCTCAAGGGATTACTTAATCCCAACTAATTACTGGTGGAAATAGTATCTTTGAATCATCTTTATACTAGGGTATATGCATAAGCCCAGAGTCTAAAGTAATACTTTACTTTAATACTTTCCCTCAAAGCACATTTATTTTGTCATTTAATTATTTATACAACATGAAAGTCTAAAACGGTGAGCATAGTTTTGTAGTTATACTTATGAGATTATTACGAGAATACTGCAAATTATACACAAAGACAATGCAACAGGAATATCGACCAGAGGCTTGTGTGACTTCTATTAGTGTCTGAGTGTGGAATCTTTGTAATATCGGTACTTCTTCTTGATCAACTTGCTTGGAAGCCAATGCCTATAACCTTGCAAGATGATTAAAATTAAGACTTTGTTCATGTCCATCTTGGAATTGTCACGATATCCATATTTGGAATTCACTTTTTCTCATTATGACACAAATGTATTAATAATAATGTCTAATAATTGACATTCCACTCACAACACAACTTGAATTGCTATAATCTGAAAGAGTGTAAGAAATTTCACTACTTGGTTAGTATTCAGATTAGTCTAGATAGGATATTAAGTGAAAGTATTTGCCAAAAAACAATGATATGTGTTCAATATTACTAGCATTAACAATAACACAAATTACAGGGGTTACATCATGTTACATATTTTTGTTAAGTGTAAATTATTAGTCCTGAGAGTATTTATGGTGTATTCTACAATTCCTAATTATGATAGCTCAGTGAAACCCTTGATCCCTTGTGATTATTAAAGCTGGCTGATTACCAGATTATATCATTGATATTATTGATCTTGAGTTCAAGTGTAGTTTTTAATTAAGGAGGAATAGTAAGGCTTCAGGTTAAAATTTCTACTCAAAATGAAAAAAAACACTCCCAGTCACGGGTATCAATTTTCAGTCCTGACATACATGTAGGTTTGATATTCAGGTTTAAATGGTATAAATGAAATAGTACATTATCTTTTATGGAATATATTCTCAAAGTGGACTAATTTTCTCGAAAACTGAACTTAATAATAATATTGAAACATTTTTGTCATGTGATTGTTATGGAATTTTTCAAAAAAATGTTGACTTATTTGTCCCTTCATTTTCAATACTATAAATGTACCAGTAGTTCTTCAATGTGCCAGTAAATAAAAATCAGCATACAGTAAGTATGCACAATGTGTATTATGTTGCCTGTCCCATCAGATATTGTACAATAAGTATGTAAGCAAGGTATAGAAATAGAGTTCCCTGCATACATAGAAGGACCTTTAGGAAATGAATTATTGAGAGAGATGTCAGTTAGTCCAGGGATCATATGACACGATACAAGCTAGGCAGTGTTGTCGTATACATGGGTCAAATTCCATAAAAAATATGAAGTTTTTCCCTTTCTTGTCATTTATATAATACAGTTTATGCTGTCCAATTACCTAAGGATTTTCTGATGTATATCCTGTGGGAAATGTGGCATTGTTAGCATTCTGGTATTCCTCTAAGCATCTCAGCAATGTTTTAATTTGACATAAGTTACTTAATAAAGTAAACATATAAATAATTGAGGAACACATGCTCATTTATTTAATTGATTTTTACCATATGATCATGTTCAACAACTTATATATTGATTAATTGTAAACCAATTAGCTTTTTAGTGCAAACCAACCGTGCGTAATGACAAGTAATCGCTACTCTATGCTATATGTATTGAAAAACCCTTTCACCATAATTGTCTAATTTTGGCATTTTTTACCAAATATCTGTCTGTGCATATTGATAAGGTAATTAATCAACCCTTTAAATGTTCATTGTCACCTTCAACAAATTATTTATTAATTAGGTAATTTGCATATCCTCAAATCATTTACCACCGTGGCCTACTTTTGGCACCTTTCACAAAATAGTCTGTTCAAAAAAAAATTGCTTCTTTTGATCACAGTTTGAAATGTTAAATCCCTAATATTAAATTTGGCTTAAATGTTCTTGACTATGACAAGGTTTACTTTCTCACCCCATTTATCTTCTCATGTTTTTAGTTACATATTTACTAGTCTTCTTTCCCCATGGTTACTGTGACACTTAAAACACACTGCAGCTGTAAAAACATTTTTGTGCAGAGTTAAAAATTTATTTATGAATGTATTATAATTAATCACTAAATCATTAATGATTAATGATGGCTTAATAAGGAGAGATTAAATACCCCTTCTGTACATTGTTAGACGACAACCTTTAAGAGATTTGATACTCAACTACTTTCCTGAAATTACCGCTAACTACCACTAGTTTTAATTATTCAGCTGATTTTCAAAAAACCTTTGAAATTAAACCTTATATTTCATGTGTATGAAACGTATGATCATTTTTTTCTTCCTCTATAGACAAGAAAACAGTCTATAGTCTGGAAACAGCAAATGTTTCTTGTCTTGTATACAATCTTTGGTACCGCTGTGCATGACAGCTCTCTGTAGATCCGGAAACAGGATAGCCTTGACCAATCACATTCAAATTGTAAACATACATCATGTTGAACATATGCACATTCATTTGATTCAGGATGGCTGAATGATAGTCATTTTAATGTTAAAATGGCATCACAATTAACTATTTCTGCTATTCCAGAACCGTATTTTGGTCCTACAATGACAGAATCGCATTTTGGTCCTGCAATGACAGAACCGTATCTCGGTCCTGCAATGACAGAACCGTATCTCGGTCCTGCAATGACAGAACGTATCTCGGTCCTGCAATGACAGAACCATATTTCGGTCCTGCAATGACGGAACCGTATTTCGGTCCTGCAATGACGGAACCGTATTTCGGTCCTGCAATGACGGAACCGTATTTCGATCCTGCAATGACGGAACCGTATTTCGGTCCTGCAATGACGGAACCGTATTTCGGTCGTGCAATGACGGAACCGTATTTCGGTCGTGCAATGACGGAACCGTATTTCGGTTGTGCAATGACGGAACCGTATTTCGGCCCTGCAATGACGGAACCGTATTTCGGTCCTGCAATGACGGAACCGTATTTCGGTCCTGCAATGACAGAACCGTATTTTGGTCCTGCAATGACAGAACCGTATTTCGGCCCTGCAATGACAGAATTTGTTAAAATCATGTACATGTATTGAACATTATGGGACCTTGATGCTGTAATGTTTTTAAGATTGGTCAACATGGCCGAATAGTGGCCATTTTGTTTTTTAATGAATGCTGTTCTGGAGCCATATTTCTGACATGCCAATATGTTCAATGTTTAGTTTTTATACATTTCTTAAACTTGATAACTCACAGGAATGTAATGCCGTTACTTGTTTGTCAGTGACACACACTGTTTCAAACAAATTTGGATCAATTTCAGACTGGTCAACTTATTGTTACTGTTTGTTTCGCAAATTGTCATTGTACTTTGACTGCAAATTTCAACATAGTCGATAGAAAAGCTTTCATTCATGAGAAACTTCAGCAGATTAATAGTTTAAGTGAAAGGAATAAGATAGAAACAATTTTTTTTATCTTCTTTTTGTGAATCTTCCTTTCTCAGAATGTTTTATGTGTGAGTGGCAAGCAGACAATCAGATTACACTGAGGAAGAATTTCGGTACACATTCTTGTTGTTGACAAACTCTCTTAGTCTAATGTGTTCCACCAGCCAGGCATGACATCTTCTTCACAAGTCACAGAGGAGCATTTCAACATTTAACTTTAACTATTCCTGACCCTTATGATCTGAAAATAACATTTGGCTTACTTAATCCTCCTAGTGGGATTTCATTTAATCTGAGTAATTTGCATTGTTACATGTGGATGTAGTTACCCAAATTGAAGTTATATCCCCTTTGCACTGAAGTGTTTAGTCAGAGAGGAGGTGCAGCACAGAGGGCATCAATGTAATTATTTGCTTCAGAGACTCAAAGCAATTTTTTGTTGCTTGTCAATTTAGTAATTAGTAAATCTGGTTTAATAAATTTATTAATTGGTGCTTTTAAATTAACCGCTTAGCTGAATTACTGATTCAAAGTCATTAAAACGGAATTGGCGGAATTATATGCAATAATTTGTGTTATTATTTTGAATACTATTATTAGGCTTACTATTTCAGGTCACTGAACAGTGTGGGTAATTTAAAAATTGACTTTATCACCAATATGTTATGATATTGCCTAAGAAGTTTCATAATCAACTTAAAGTCCTTTTTAATTTCTTGGTTAAAGATGGAGTTAATATAGATGTTGATTGCAATGGGAAACAAAATTTAGAGAGCCCACAGCTCAGAAATAAGGATTGATTATTTCCTAGCCAAGGTTCTCTACACAAGCATTTAAAGTTTGGTGAATATCTACTATAGTAACAAAAATTCAGTGCTGTGTGTTCTGAATTTATTTGGCATTTCAATGACGAATGTTATTGACTAGATTGTTTAATTTGTGAATTCAACATGCATTGAATCATGGGATATCATGTGATATGTACATTTTCTTTTCAAGGCCAGATTCTTGCAAGGCCATTGCCTAAATTCCCCACCTGAATATTAACCTATTAAAATATGTGAAATGTGATAAAAATTATTTTTCTATAAATTCTTTGTTAATTATTAACTTATTTTCAAAATTTTTGAAAAATGTGTGAAATGTGATAAAAGTTATTTTTCTATAAATTCTTTGTTAATTTTGAACTCATTTTCAACATTTTTGGAAAATATGTGAAATGTGATAAAAGTTATGGTTTAGATGCCTTACACATATTTCAATTAGGTTGAGGTATTTTCTGTGCTTAAAATTTGGTGTCCTAAACATACTAAGTCCTAAAATATCTAATTATATTTGTCAGTTGAAAGTATCAATTTGCTTTGTGTATTTCACTTTATTAATTCAACTTTAACCTTGTCCCTGCCGACAACGAAGGAGGTCATACCATTAGGAAATGTAGCATATGCTAACCAATTACCTAGGGCTTTTTGAATGCATTTCCTAATGATCATACAATTGTAGTTGAAGTTGATTTCATCTATTCCCTTAGTACCTTCAAGATTTGTTCTCTGATAACACAAAATTTATCCTCCGATCATGCTTGAGTGAAGTCAGATATATTTACAATCAAAGATTAATGTTTTCTAACAAGATAATTATTTTATTTATATCAAAATAGCATCAGTATCTGAGTATCTAAGTGTGATTAGATATCTAGCATTTGTATACAGTAAAGAGTTTGTGATTATTTAAAATAAAACTGTGGATGTAATATACCATATTATAAAGTGCAATATAATGTTTAGTTGATGTATAGTGTAAAACTGTCTCAATGCAACCCTACTTTAGTCATTAATCCAAATCTTTAATCCAAATACTGTTCCACCTCCTTTTAACCTTTGATCCCTAAAGTCAACTGTATATCTTATTTGCTCTATTATAAGCTCTATTATTATCTCCAATAGTATGCGCATTTCTGGTTTATTTCGTCAAAACCTTTGATATACATGCGCATACATGATTAGAATATTGTGTCCATGGCAGCCCCTCCCCCCCCAAATCATGAAGTGTGGGTGAGGAATATAGTGGTTAGGAAAGTCCTTACATCTGTATGGTGACGTATCAGGAGCACTATTGCAGATAGAAACAATCACACAGTCTTATATTGAAAACATTACACACTAGATCTGATCAATATGAAATATCAATATCATTCAGATATGACTTAATTTTGGATTACTTCTGTTATTATGTAAATGTATGTGTTTCTAATAATGCAAATACTGTCAGTTATTTTTTTGATCAAGATCTGTAGGCAGGGGAAAATTACTGGTATGTTCGTTTGGTCCTAATTTGAAAAGAAACTACATAAAAATTTGCAAAATGTTGGATCAAAATGCTGGCAGAAAAAATTAGGGTATTCATAAATGTTAAACTCATCTCGATGTATAATTGTAGAAAAGATTTATATATTGAATGTCACTGTAACATATTCAACTCGCTTCAATTCAGACATGCTAAAATTATAGTTATAAATCTGGAACTCACATTGAATTCCAATTTAATTCTCATATTCATAACTTCCATCTATAAAGAAAAATGTTACTGATATCTTTATATAATTATAAGGGTATGTCTCTTGTCTTTATTTTCACACAGTAGTGTCATTTAATAAAATCATCTGTCACATTGGGATGGGTATTTAGATACCTTAGCTAGATTGTCAAATAGCAAAATATGATGTGACAACTCAAATTTCAACTTCTTAACTTCAAGTAATCTGGTTATGGTATCCTATTTTATATCAGCATGCAGGCATATTGCTGAACTGCGCATTTGCTCTCTAGGGATCATACTTAGAAATACTCTATAATTAGGTGTGAATAACCTTTTCATGATAAAGTGGAGCATGCATGTAGGTTTGTTTTGATGGTGTGTGTGTGAGTGAGTGTGAGTGTGTGAGTGAGTGAGTGTGAGTGTGTGAGTGAGTGTGAGTGTGTGTGAGTGTGTGTGTACTTGGATTGCTATATGTTGCGAGGACAAAAATACAGATATATAGCTACTTCCGAGGACATACACACCTTCCGAGGACCTTTTTCATAGTCCTCGGAAAACATAATTTATATTAATAGTTAATTCGATTATTAATACGTTTTGCGTAGCTTAG